TGTTTGGTTTTCCCGCTGATGAAGGTCAGCTTCAGGGTGTACTTGTCATCAAACCTGTGTGAGGGCAGACACACCTCAGAGCAGGACCCCAGTGGGGACAGAAACTCCCCTCCTGCCTAAGGGGAAAACCCTCCCGGACTGCAGGCCCCCACCGGGGCACTCACAATGAAAACAATTAAAGACTTTTATACCCTGCATTGAAGAAAAGTGAAACATTGGTGGCAGAAAACCACCGGGAGCTGCTCCCATTCCTAGAGCAGGACATGGGTTTTGATGGAGCAGAACGGGTTTTTCAAAGGAAAAGGCAGTATTTGGGGTAATCTCTAGTGAGGGAGTGGTGCCTGCTGGCTCAGCCCGGGCTGCCAGAGCAAAAAGTACCGTTTGAGGCTGGAGGAGAGCTGCCAGACATCATCAGGATCCATCCCTGCTGGGTCCTTCCTGTGGGCCACCAGGAAAATACTCTTCTCCTTGTATGAGGTATAAATGGTCAGGATTCCCATCATGACAAAATAGGTGCAGAAGAAGTTAAGGAAATGAAGAAGGTGCCAGGAGAAGAAGAAATTAGGCAGAGAAGTCACTCGGATCCCCTCAGACACTGCTGTTCAACCACCTCTTGTGACATTTTAATTCCAAACATGATGCTTGGCTGATGCTTCATTAGCATGAGAAATTAAGTAATAAATTTAAACTTTAATTTATTCACTCCCTGAAAGTGTCCAAGGCGAGGCTGGATGGGGCTTGGAGCAATCTGGTCTAGTGGAAGTGTCCCTGCCTATGGCAGGGGGTGGAATTGGATGAGCTTTAAGGCCCCTTCCCACCCAAACCAGTCTGGGATTCTCTGACATTTGCTGGGAGATAGTGGGAAAACTTGAGACTGAACAAGCCCCAGAATGAGTTGCTGGACATTCCTCCTAACACAGACCAAGCAATTCCTCTTTCCCATTTTTGGAATTAAATAATTTCACGTGCTGCAAGACAAATCACCCATTTGTTCTGAAAGCCACCCAGAACAGCCTGGAACAACGAAATTCCTTAGGATCACAGAATTGTTTAGGTTGGAAAACGTCTCTGAGCCCACTGAGTCCAACCATTCCCCCAGTCCTGCAAGGCCACCACTAATCCTTTGCATTGCTGAACCTCATGGAGTGACCTCAGCCCACGGATCCAGCCTGTCCAGATCCCTCTGCAGAGAGCTGCTGACAAGAATTTCCTCTTTCCTCTCTCAGTATCTGACCTGTGGTATTAGGGAAAAGCAAACGTGTCTGTAACCAGACTGTGGAGAGAATTTAAAAAAAAGGATCTGCTTCAAACCACCCAAATTTAGGGGCATTAGACCCAGACAGGCAGGAATTTTCCCATCACATGAAAACTGTCTGATTGTCAGCTGAGCCCCACACGACAGGAAGCGTAATTCCCACAGACCTGAAAACAGGAATATCCACAAGGCTTTTGTTCATGTGGAAAATCAAACCCTTTTGGTACAACCAAGACAAGATCTGTAAAGGATATGAGACAACACAAAAGGCAAGAACCGGTTTGGATTCAGGAAAAGGGTGCAGGTAATCCCAAATCAAAGCGACAATGGCAAAGAGACAAGAGATTGTGCAGATGATGAGGCGGCCGTCGATCAAACGGAAATTCTCCACGTATTTGTACTTCTCCAGGAGCACCTGTGGGAGAAACAGGCAGCCCAGTCTGTTGGGAGCTTCTCAGGAACTTGGCACACTGTTTCTGGGAAAGGTTTGAAGGGAACAATCCCAGCGGTAAACTGAGCAGAAAGTTTATGGGGAATTCATGTCTGCATCTCGATAACTGATCCCTATTAGGCACAAGCACGTGGGAATCACAAGAGATGCTACAGACCCAGCATGGAACGGGCACAACCAACCCCCAAAAAGTAGGAAAGAAAATCAGAGAGCTTCCCAGGAGGGACAACTCGGCAGACAGAGAACCTACCTTTTTGGCAGAGTCATCCAAGGAATTTTTCACAGCTGAACCGTCCCATTTGTCAATTTTTACTGGCTTGTCATCAATCTTCCACTGCAATGGAAACGGTGTGGAGTGAGGGGAATTTCATCCCAACACGCTTGCTCCTGCTGTGAGCACCAAGACAGGAGGCAAACCAGGAAGCAGCTGCCTGTTTGGGAAAACCTGGCTGGGCAGAGGCAATCTGCACCCAAAAGCTGCCTGAGCAGCACTGTTCTTGGGCAGGTTTCTGCTTATACACCTCATCACAAGTTTGCAGTGGCTCTGACAGCACATTTCATTTTGCTTCTACATTTGCTGCTCCCGCTGCCATCCCCAGGAGTGACTCCTCAGGAGTTGGGCTGAATTCCTGCCTTTGGATGTACTCCTGCTTTCCAGCCACACTGCTACACACGGGCTCTTGGGGGATGGAGGGAAATTTCAACTCTCTTTGTACAAAAGGAGAATTAAAAGGCACAAACAAGAAATTTCAGTTAGAACAATTCTCTGGAACAAAAGCAAAGGACTCTTCCATATTCAAAGGTCATTCTTCCATATTCAAATCTTCTGCAGGGATGGGTCCCTCCCCATTAACAATTCCCATATACAATGGCTCAGCTTTTCCAAGAGGTCCACCTTCTCCTGAACTACATTATTTTTTGGTGACACATCCATCCAAGCCCTGAGTATCCTATGTCATCCCGTATTTCAAACAGGTGAGTGACTGGAGCTGGAATCTTAGCTGCCAATAAAGCAATTCTCAATTTCACTCGTGTTATTTTCCTGCTCTGGAAGCTCCCAAGCTGGACTGATTAACTTCCAGTCCAAAGAGCTCCTTTCCCTCCTCTGGAAGGAACAAAACCACTTTAAAATATGATGCACAACTCAATGTGCTTCCCCTGCAGCCACAGAGGGAAAAGCCCAATTATCCCCCAGGCCTGGCACGTGGGAATTAGGAGGCACACAGTGAATGTCACTGCGTGTCCACGAGGTTTGCACAAAAGCAACGCCCAGGAGGATCTAAAAATCACGGAGAACTGGGACAGAGCTCTCACATCAGTGTATGCTACCAAATATTTTAAGTGGCTGCTTTTTGAAGCATTTTCTTCCACGGTTAATTAGCACACATGTTAATTGGAAGCCAAAGCCTTTGCTGTAAGAGGATAGGGTCGAATTCTTCCCGCTTTTTTTTTTTTCCTTATCCAAGCATCTACAGCAGTTGGAGGGGGGGAACCAGGCCTGAAGGGAGGATGCTCAGGGATGAGGATGCTCAGGGATGGAGATGCCCAGGGATGAGGGGGGATGCCCAGGCATGAGGATGCTCAGGGATCAGGGGGGATGCTCAGGGATGAGGGGGAATGATCAGGGACTGGGGAGGATGCTCAGGGCTGAGGATGCCCAGGACTGGCGGGGAGATGCTCAGGGGTGAAGGATGCATGCCCAGGGCTGAGGGAGGGATACCCAGGAGTGAAAGGCGGAAGCCCGGGGCCGGCGGGGGAATGCGCGGGGTTGGCGGGGCGCTGCCCGGGGGCCCGGCCGGGGCGGGGGACGCTCGGGGCGGCTCAGGAGCCCCGCTCGCGGTACCTTGTCCAGGAGCCCATTCCGGCCGCTTTTGGCCGCCATCTTCTCGCCGCCTCCGCCCCCGCCCCGCCCGCGACACCTGGGCGCTGCTGATTGGTCGTGCGGGAGGAAGTGCGGCCCCCCCGCGCCGCGCGGCACGCTGGGAAAAGTAGTCCGCCCCGCCCGCCATCCCTGTGACGTGGAGAAGGTGTTCGCATCATGGAGTCACAAATTTGGGTGGGGAGCGACGTTAAAGCCCATCCAGTCCCACCCCCTGCCATGGGCAGGGAAACCTTCCACTAGATCAAGTTACTCCAAGCCCCGTCCGACCCCTAAAAGAGTTGTCCAGCCTGGCACAGCTGCCCAGGGCAGTGGCGGAGTCCCCATACCTGCAGGGATTTAAAGCAATGTGGATGTGGCACCTGGGGACAGGGGTTAGTGGTGGCCTTGCAGTGCTGGGGGACTCGATGACCTTGGAGGCCTTTTCCAGCCCTGACTATTCCACGGTTCTATGATCTCCAACACAATACAGCAGCCCTGTTGTGTGGCCGAGCCATGTGAGGAGGATGGTGCTTATTCCTCCTTAATGAGACCCTTCATGTACAGCTCCGCCGCAGCTGCCACGACAAGGAACCTCCTGTTTTCCATTGCAGGAGATGCAATGCTAAGCTAGATGGCCATTTGGACTGATCCAGTTTAGCTGCTTTGATGTAGGATGTCAGTTTTATGTTAAAAGAATCAACAGCAGCCTCAGTCTGGTCTCCTGGCAGACGCAGCTCCCTACAGTGACAGCAAGTGATGGTTTTCACCTGTCTTTGCTCAAGCCTGTTATTAATGAACCTCTTTGTACCTTTGCTCCTTTTGGGGGGATCTGGGTCTGGCTTGTTGCCCTGACTGTGCCAAGACATTCCTGGAGGAAACGGCCCATTGTCCTCAGTGTTTGTGAGAGCTGAAAGGGTGGGAGCTGAGCCGGCTCAAGTCCTTGGGCAGCCTCTGGCAGCGTTCCCGGTCACATGGAGGTGCCAGAGGAGCTGGAAGTGGAGAAAGGACAGCTTGAGTATGTCCTGCTGCAGATGTCAGGGACCAAGACAGGATGGGCGAGCAGCAGCCTCTCCCTGCCCCCATGGAAAGCACAGGCGTGTTCCAGTGGGAGAGGGCTCAGCTCTGCCAGGGTGCCACATGGACATTGCTGGGCTCCCTGGGATCTACAGCTGCATTAACCCCAGCCCAAACTCAGCTGTTGAGAGATCAGCCTCGAATTAAAATGGGTTTGTCCTGAGAGGAAGTGCAACCTGGCTCTCTGAGCCTTTCCAACCAAATGATTTTGTGATTCTACAATTACTCTGCAACCTCCTTCAGATGGAGGCAAGTGTCACCTGTCTGGGCCAAGCAGCAGTAGGATCCTGCTTGTTTCCAAGCACAGCAAGAAGCAGGGAGTTTCACTGTCAGAATCTGGTTTTATTCTGTTTGAACCTCGGCCATTGCCCTGCAGTTCAAGTCCTGGTTGCTGTTAAAACAAACACTGTTATTTGTACACATTTGTCGGCATATTTCTGGTTTGTGACAATTGTTTCACAAGCAGGATTTACTCTGTTTCAAACAACAGAAGCCACAACATGACAGATGCCTGCATGTCATTCCACTCACACATTTCACACATGCAAGTCAGCGGTCCTTTGGTGCCTTCCATCGCTTTGTAACACATTCAGGTGAAGCCACGGGGGTTCAGCGGAGACCAGAACGACCGTGAGAGTCTGCAGCCAGCCGGTGCTCTGCTGGCGAGCGGAGAACACGAAAGCACAACGATTTAAAGCGTTATTGGAGAAAGTGTAGCGACATCTAGATTGGTTTTGAACAGTTTGACAGCAAACCCCAAGGAAAGCAGGCGCGCTCCCCCGGCCGTGACCAGCTGAAGGCTTTCCCGTTTGCATAGTGAGGAGCGAACTGCGGAGCTGCACAGACGCGGGGAGGGGACAGGGCGGTGCCAGGAGCCTGCGGCACTCGGGGATCATCCCAGCTCCGTGCTGTGCTTCCATCCCGGGACATCCCGTGGGGCTCCACCGTGGGCAGTGGGTAGTTTCTGTCTCGTGTCTCCCACTGGGCCAGAGGGTCCAGGCGCTCCGAAACGCTTCCCCTCATGTGTGGGACGAGCTCTTTGCCAACCTTCTGCTGGACAGCTGGGAGACAGGACAGGGCTGTCGGAGGGCCCAGGAGGAGCCCTGCCCTCGGAGCATTGCTAAAGGCTTGTTTTCTAAAATCAGTGAGAGTCTTTAAGGCTTCGATCTCCCCCTTTGCTTTCACTGAGAAAATACAAAGAAGCGCTTGTTCAAGCTACACTTCATGACTACTGTGCACTGCATGTACAATAGCATTGGAAGAGAAATACTGACAATATAGAATAACGTCATACAATCACCTGGCATGATCCCTTTTGGCACTTTTCCTTCATTTATCTCATCTTGCTGACTCCAAACACGGACCCTTCTGTACGGCTTTTCCCGGGCAGAGAGCTCCAGAGGGTCAGAAAACAACTTTCTGGGAGTCGGTGGCATCTTTGGCAGACACAGTCCTTCTGTCACGGAACCAACCCCAGCCCCTCCGGATTAGACAGCTTCACATCTTGGGAGGACACTCCCATGCCCGTGCTGTCCCACAGCCAGCAAGGAATGCCTTCAACCCGGAGGGAAGGCAGCTGAGGGTTACAAAGGACTTTCACAGAAGTGTGAATAAATACTGGGTTTAATCTCGTGCTGCATCCACTGTTCAGCAGGAGGTATTTTCCTTCTCAGCTGGCACGATTTCTGGCAAAGGTGGTGACATTCTTGACCTTTACAGGGGAGAGGCTGGCTATTCCCGCTCTTTTGAGTGTAATTATTTACAATTTTTGTTGTTTTTTGCAAGCTAACACAAACATCGAGAGTGTTAAATTAATAAAACATTCATCCCGGCTTTGCATCGCCGCAACCCTTCCCTGACAGGACTGTGATTCCACATCCAAAAAGGTCTCCTTGAACGCAGATGCCATGGCCTGTGCGTGATCCTTGGAGAGTTGGGATCTCTGTTTAGGGGGCAGCCAGGAGCACGAGGGGTCCCATGAAGCTTTTCTTGGCTGGGGACAAGCTCCAGCCCAGGCACTGCCTCCTACACTTCTGCCCAGCTTGGATTTGGGATCAGGAAATTAACGCACAAACCTCAAAATATTTATAAAATCTTTTCAAAAGAAGGTATTTAAGACACTGGCCTAGTGCATCGGGCTGTGAAATCTGTTTTAAGAGGGGAAAGAAAAGATACATTCAGCATGTAATCTATTTTTTGTGGTGTAAGCAGCCCAGGCCCAGCTGAACCCCCACAAACACCACGAGAAAAAAGGAAACTGTTTAGGGAAGTCAGTTTGGGGCTCCAGGGATGAGCCACAGAAAAGGGGGGTCTGTAAAAATAATTCTAAATCTAAATGCACCTGGGAAGTGCATATTGTAGCTCAAAACGTTGGGAAAAACAGCACGGATTCCGAGTTAAAGCTGTGGCTTTCCCTCCTGAGCTCTGAGGGCAGATCCAGGCCATCACTACTTCTCTCTGTGCTGTTCTTCTAGGTCCAGTCAAGGCTCCAAGTCCTTAATTTCCTTCTAGTTCACAGCTGCACAGAAGAACAGGTTTTGGTTTGGGTCAAAAGTGCCTGCTTCAAGCAGCACCTGCTGAGGCTGTGGTGCAGGAGAGGGAAGGCAGAGCAGGCCAGGTCTCACCAGCCCCAGGTACAACTTCAACCATCCAGTAGTTTGTGTGGCAAGGAGATACAGAGATAGAGATATATATTATGGAATCATTGCTATAAGATTTCTCAAAACAAAAGTGTCGATCTGTTGAAATATAGTATTTAAAATATATAAATTTTACCCAATAAAATATAAGATTTCTTTTTTTCCTCTTTTTTTTTTTTTTTAAATCCAGTTCAATTAGGAAAAAAGAAACTGCCAGGGTCCTTGCAGTGAAAAAGAAAACCAGTTCCTGTTTTCTTTTTGACTGTTTAAGATGGAGGGAGAAAATTCAACTGTTTTTAGATAGAGGAAATTGGGCAATGCAGTTGTCTTAGATCAGATCCGTCTATTTATGTGCACTGGCTGCCCTCCCTTCACAGGATCCATAGGGAAGTTTGCCCCTGCCCTGTGCTCATCCCAAGAACAGCCCTGCCACCCGGCACACGGGGGGGCAGGATGGGTAATGCCACAAGCCCTGCCTCAGACAAAGGTCCCCATGGGCCTGGAGGGTCCCCGTGAATACTCTGCAAGGCAGCTGCCAACGACTGATTTGGAACGGTACTCTTTGAGCTACATTACTGGAAATAATCCATGAAATTAATCATGGAAGAGGGTTAGAAACACTCAGAGGGTGGCCTGCCACATCTGGGCAGAGCACACACGCTCCACCAAGCCCAGGCTCTGAGCCAGCTCTGCTCCAGGCCCAGTTTCATGCCCGGAAGTTTTTAGTGCATTGCTCACCTGAGCTTTCTTAGTGGTTTGAAGCTGAAGCCAGGAAGCTGGAGCAGGGGCAGGGCCCTTGGGACAGCTGGGCTCCTGTTCCATCGGCTGCCTGGCTGGATCTCTCAGGATGCTCCTCTGGGACATGCAAGGACAGGCCTTAGGTGTGCTGAGAGAGCTCTTAACTGAGCAGGGGACGTGGCAGCTGCATGTCCTTCCAGAAACTCCCTGGCCAGCGTTTCCCTTTCTTCAGGGAATAGGGAAGAACAGGAAACCCTCTTGGTTTGGAAAAGACATGGACTGGGAGAAAAGCTCCCTGGGTCCCAGTGCTCAGCATGTGGCTCCAGCTGCTCCACCTGAGCTCTCTCCCCTGTCACAAACATGAAATTACAAATCCCTATCGTGTCTTTCAGTAAAATCCTTATTTTAAGTCTTTCTTTTCACTGCATTTGGCTTTCTGCTTCACGAAAGTGATGAATGATCTGTGCTGCTGCTGCAGACAGTGAGATGCATTCATTTGGAAGTACTATGGGGGGGGGCTCTGTTTAGGACTCCCCAGGAGAAACACGGAGCATGGGCAAGAGGCTGACCCCACAACCAG